CTAGAAAAAGAAGAAATCAAAAGCTTCTAACTAGAAATTCCACATCCCTCACCCTTAGAGAAGAGATCTTAAGATAGCTGGTAATTTATTTGCAACGTGGAGGACGTATGAGCTGGGAAGAAACCGGTCATTTGACTTCATGAGAAAGGAAAATGCACTATCGCGCTTGATTTTCATAGCGGATAGTTGAACGGCAAAAAGAGAGGAGAAGTGCGAAAAAAGTAAGTAATTCCTTTTTTGTATGATAAGATCAATAAAAGAAGGATTGTAATAGGGATGAGCTTGTAGATTTGAGCAACTTAAGATTTAGGAAAGACTATATATAAAGCTACAGAATGAAACTTTTAAATACTAATAAAATGAATGATAATCAACGACAAACCTATAATACCATCAAAATATGTAGATTAGGGTTACATATTACATTTCATAGACTACGCAAACGCCACGTTCAACTTTTCCCAATTTGAAAAAAAGCAAAAAAGTCCTTGTTGGCCCTCTCAGCTTTTGTTGGACTATTATTAAATCAGAATGGCAAAAATTAAATATTCGCGCACGCTGCGACCGTGCGCATGTTATAGTGTAGCTACTGCCCCAGGTGCCAGTTGCAGAAAGATGGATTGTGGACAATGGTGAATAATTCACATACTAATATGTTTCCAAACTGCTAAAACTACAAAAATCTAAAGTGAGAAAAACCAGACATAAGAACTAGAAACAACCGAGCTTTAAGACACTTCAGGTTAAGAAAATATCTAATAAAACCTACATGCATCACTTTTCTCTGACGCCATTGACGTATTTGCAGATTGTTGTCCTAAGTAAGGATTCGCATATTGTACCGTATTCTGTTCTGTAGAAGCTGTCGAACCACTTTTGGTCGACATCGCTGCCCTAAAAAGCGGAAATAACAACACGAAGAAAACATTGGCGAACGTTCCACGAAATCGAACAATTTCGAGAGGAAGTGTTGACGACAGTAATCTGAAAATCGCTTGCGCCATCGTCATGACTAAGCGAGATCTAAGTGCGATAGGGCTTTGAAGTGACAACACGTGAATTTAGCCATTTTATTGAGGAGAAGGGCGGGAAAATTTTAAGGCAATGGTTATTATCATGAAGGGAACAATTTTTAGCTCCAAAAGAAGGGGAAACAGTTGAGGACCAAACAAATGGCGCACTCGATCAAAAGATGGAAAGGTGAAGTAGGGAAAAAGATAATTATTAACAATCAGGTACTCTGCCTAAAATAATAAAAGCAACAAAAGCAAACTTGAAAACATCTCAGAAAAGACCGCTGTAATAAATAAATAGAAAAAACTCAGATTTTATCTTATTTTTCACTTGAATGTCACATTCGCAGCGCACGCGAGGGCACGCGCATGAACGCGTACCTCATCGATGCGGTTGATAGCTTGGTGCCAAAAAAAAGTATTTTTTGCTCTCAATTTTCATTCCGAGCGACTTTGAATAAGCGTAAAGAGAAGATTTATAGTAGTACAGCTGGGCAAAAATAAGGATGCATCGTTACCTAAACCTATCTTCTTTGAACTAAGATTTGGAAATACAACGAGGGTACTGTACTCGCTATAAAGGCCACTATCACCCTCACAATTATACCTTTGTTTCCTATTTCAATCTCGTTTTTATCCCCTAAAGAGAATGTATGAAAGTGTAAAGAGGAAAATCTGACATTTGAAAACGCTATTTGAGGTAAGACAGATCGCTTGGGTAAAACCACACACACCCACACCATTCTCCACGATGCATATTGGACCATGGAGATTAGCATTTCGATGCTAAAAGGCTAAGAAACTGCAGAATTTATCACCCTTTTCCATTCTATTCCCTGCAAGTGCAGCAGTGCATCTCCATAAACACGACATCTGCTATACAAACAAACAAGAAAAACATTTGAAGCATTAGTCATCGTGTTAAACTGTTGAAGGGAGGAGTAAAAAGGAAGAAAGTCGAGAGTACAAAAAAGAATGTCAACAGAGTGAAGGTGGAATTTTTAGCTGTGGAAAATCCACAAAGAAAATTGCTTTTGCAGCCAATGTTATGGCTATACGATAACACTTCTTAAATCATCTTCTTGGTTGGCCATTTCGCTTAATTTGAAAAGATAGTGGTGTTGCTTTTGCTTACCTAAAAAGCTAATCAAACCAGAAAAAGTTAGAATTCTGGTAAAAAAGGGAAAGGTTGCTTGAGCAAACAAGGAGAGGTCTTTACTATCACGAAACATTTATTATCAAAAATTACGACTGTGCAGATAAATTGGGCGCCTTGAAGCCCAATTGAAGCTTCAATAATTTTTTAAGAGATCATGATATCCCATATATGTAGGAATAAGATAAGCCTCTGAACTCTAAAATAAAGACGGCAACCTTAGCACATGGGGCTGGGACTGGGCTATATCTGTGTAAAGTCGGATAAGGTATAAGATAATAGCATATTATGGATTATGAGTTCATATCATATATCTATAGAACACAATAGCATGGGAGCTCTGACACCTTGTCCCCCAACTCTCCAAGTGGTGAGCCGCAGGAAATTTTCAAAAGAGAGATGAGGTGTTGAGAAGAATTGCTTGGAAGGGCGTGGTCTGATAGAGACAACTTGCACATTTTATAGATCTACATATATTATTTTTATTTACCTCAAATTGGTTCCTGGGCTACTCGATTTTACGTTCCGATAATTCAATTAAAAAATGTGATGATGCAGAGAGGGTTACATGCCATGCGTATA